TTTAAAAAATACATTTGACAAAAAAATCTCCTTATTGATACTTGTCCTTTTGAATTTCCGCTACCTTACAAATACGGATATTTACATTTTTTGTATTGCTATGATTTTTTAAAATTTTATTTGGATGAAAAAATTTAGAAAAAACGATCTGACAAAAAAGACATTGTGATTATCATGAATATTAGTGGAAACACTGGAACACCAAAAGGTTATTTTCTTGAGTTAATAAATTATATATTTAACAATATAGAAATATTCCACAAAGAAAGCGTAGATCATTTTTCACGTTTAGTTTTAAAAAGATCTACAATATAGAATTCTTTTTCTTTCTTCTTCTGAGGATTCAACTCTTATATATAAGTATATATTTTATTGCATTGATTTATTTGTTTTATATTAGACAAAAGAAAACAATTTTTATTAATCATTGAAAAATCATTCAATTAGTCATAATCAAACTTTGCTTTTCTTTAGAAAGCTAATTATTCATTTGAATACTAATTAATCGATGGAAAACTCGATAAAAAAGAAAAGCAATTTTTTACTGAATACTATTCATTAAAGTTGTTCAACTAGAATACTACACCTATAAGTAACCCTGTTGGTAGCTCCATTTATCTTTCCTAATGATTTAACGGTTATCATAAGAGCCTTTTCTGAATAGAGGTAAATATCCTAGTCTAAACCCTGTCCATCCCTTGATAAGTTCTGAAAAAATCTTCTAGAAACGTAGATCTCAAGGATCTTGCCAAGTTTTGTTCAGGATTCTATCTCGAATCCTAGTGATTCCTGTTTGCAGTATTTTTCATGAGTCAACAGGATTCTTTTCAGCATTCGTTCAAGTTTCTGCCAAGATTTTTTTCTAAATCAATCATTCAGGATCTTACCAGATTTCTCTCTCCATCCTACCTAGCGTCCTCACAGGAATAGCAGATAGGATACTGTAAAGGTTGATGAAATCTTTACTCAGGTACTATTCTGGATCCAGATACGAGGATCCGATCAACAATAATAGCTAAACAAGAGGAGGATCTTAACAAGAATACAACAGAACGGTGTAGATGTGGATCTAGATAAGATGAACCAACACACACTTGCACCAATCTCCATTCATACCCATACCCACACATCTACACCTTCCTAAAACGTAGTGAATTTTCTAAGATCTCTTGGCTATACGTTTTTTTCAGAATTTAGGGTTTCCTGGGCCAATTTCTAGTTTTAAATCTAGTGTTAATCTGCTCAGACTCTTGATAGAATCCTGTTTTAAATCTTGCCAGGATCTTGAAATTCTATGACTACGCGCTTTCGTCAGGACTTAGTCGTTTTCTCAAGAAAAAAGAATAGGTCCTTAAAGGATTCTTATTGGATCCGTTAAGGATCTGAAACTGAAACATTCAGGACTTTCGCCAGGATAAGATGACGAGTTGCCAATTTGAATAATGAATACGAGTGGAAAAGGTTATATTAATAAAATGGTATAGTTCACAGTAATATTTTATGGTCGATCAAATTATGAAGGTATTTATTTTTGAAAGAGCGCTGTATCCATATTTGAAAATACCTTTCCCGTCAGAGTATTAATAATTTTTCAATTCATTTCGAATAAATTTGGTACAGAGCCATTCAGAAATCTTATGATCAGTTTTTATTCATTTTAAAGTCCTTTCTTTATAGTCAAAGGTCAGATTTCCATGTATCTTCTCTCTGAGCACATGATATGAGACGCTATCGGGGATTATTTCTCTACAGGACATATTAGGATTTATTAACTGTGTTAATATTTCCTTGCATCCACACTGTAGGTATGCATGTATGAGAGGAGAAACAAGATAAGATCAATACGTCAATGCAGCCATACTGTAAGGATGTATGTATGGTGGATGAAATGATATGAGATTTATCCCAAAAGGCAGAGGGACTTATTATAAAATCCCAAAAAATCCCATAAAAACAAGTCCTGGAAGCTGCTGTATCGTATAGAACAAACTGTTAGACTTAAAAGAAATTTTCTATCAGAAAAAGAGCCTTTATTTGAAATGCAAAATTTATGTTATTTACAGGAAAAAAATCATCCAGGATTTGCTGTAATTTTAGGATGATTTAAATTATTGTTTACTTCAAAAGAAAATGCTCAAAATGTTAGAACTTCTATTTTCAGAACAGTAGGACTCGGTAAATTGCACTCTTTGTTATTGTTAAGCTAAGACTGAGGGCGTTATTTGAACATCAAAACTCGATTATTCCTCAAGTGGTCAGCTAAAAAGCGCATTTTTTATCGGATGATGGCGTTTCAAAAATGTTCACTGAACTTTTCGTTTACGTGTATAAATCCAGCCGCTAGTTCAATGATTGAATTTTTTATAGGTTGATTCGTTTTTTTACGTTATTCTTGTTATGATAACATATCTAGTAGGCTCATATATGACATTTATTTTTCCGTCAATAGTGTATTTTGAAAAATAGTTATTGATAATTGAACACCCTCTTCAACGTTGTAATGATCTTAGACTATCTCTTTACCTCCTGGAGTGATTCCAGAATATATTGGTAAAACAACTAAAACAAACATAATATAAGTCGTTCTAACATGTCAATATTATTGGCAAATGAACTTGCAACATGGTCCTTGTTCGGACTACAATATGTGGTACAAATAATGCCGATAAAAGTATTAAAATTTCATGTTTTTTGATATTTCTCAGCATTGCTACCCATGGCCACTTCATTTGTCAACGTGGTAAAGGACTATAAGAAAATGGATTTCCAGAATAATTCAACGACGAATAATTACTTTTTAAGATATCAACCAAGCACTTATAGGACGTAGTTTACAGTCTCAAAAGAAAGCAAGGAAAGTTTGAGAACAGTATCAAACGATAGATAACTGTCTGGAAGTTGAATTCAGACACCAGGCTTCGAAATCGGGCCACCTTCTGGATGTTTCGATTCGGACCGTAGAGGCAAAAAGTTTCTCTTGTACTACTGACTCAATACAGATGAAAACTAAATTTCTTTCATAGAGAATAACAGCAGCTTTGAATTTTATTATAAAAATTTTGTTTTGATGGAAATTTTATTATTTATTAATTATTATATATACGTAGGCATGCACCAAATCCAAATCCAATCAAACCCAAATCCAAATCTAGTCAAACTCTGTCAAACCAAGAATTTGGGTTTGACTGGATTTGGATTTGGTGTACCCCTATATACATATGGGAGTGCCCAATTAGGTATGTTATCCCAGTTACTTTTTTTCATGCAGCTTCAAGCATTTTTCGGAAAAGCATCATTTTTTGTTTACCACTGATAATATATGCACAATGCTGATGATCTATTTTTGTTTGAGCTCTACCTGCCCAGGATAATCATGATTATCAAGGCCTTTTTACAATCATTCAACGAAAAATTTTTCATATCAGACATAAACACACACTGAAACTTGCTTTGGATTATTTGAATCAATGTTTGATGATAATATAAAAGTTTTATTAAGAACAATTCGTTGGAAAATTACAGATAATAAATCATATGATCTATTTACGAATAGGATATTTAGTCAAATTAAGATTACTCAAAGCGTAAATAACATGCACAATTTTACTAGTCTTATATGAATATCAACATGTTCCCTATAAATTCCTTCTAAACTAGTATAGTCTTTAACACGCCGATTTATATTTTCAATAACAGCTCTTGCACTCCATATCATACGATTAAAATCTTTATCTTTAGCTCTTAGATCACCTCCATGAGATTTGTTTTTTTTTGGAGTGATTATGAACTGTTCACGCGCACAACCTTTATCGGCGATAATTTAGACATTTTCATTTGTATATTCTAATAATCCTAAGCCTCGCATTATTTATTGTATCATGAACATTACCCGAATAACATTTTGATACATGTACTATTTGATAATGAAAATTACAAGCTATTTGTACTTTAAATGCATAATTTGCGGAACTTTTTGCATGGTAAAATGCTTTGCAGTGTTCTAAATCACGAAGTTCGTGTACAACAATACAAGTCGAATCGACTAATAATATGATATGATTGTGGTCCATGTGGCGTTGTCTTGTTAGCTATACTGACAGGATTTGAAATCAATTCTAGACATACATAAAAGTATAGGATATTAATAATTTCGGATAAATAATAATTTACTGAAGATCGACTTAAATGTAACTCTGTTGCAATACAACGTCGAGAATGATAGTGTTTGAAATAGTACAATATTATTGCACGTAAATTTATGGAAGATATATATGATATAATTAATGCTGTTATATATTTATTTTGTTTTGTATGCACGATAATTTGTCAATGGTTGTTCACATATAGTGTACAGCTTTTTTACTTGTTCAATATCAAACCCTGTATGCTGTTTACAAGATTCATTATTACGGCTCCATTCTGATGATGGACATTGCTCTACAACATACAAATAATGAAATATAATCGAAACCTACTATAGTATATTTTTGTTATATCATGTAATAAAAAAGATGCTATATTTGAAAGTTAGGCAGATAAATAATACTCGCCAGAATTCATTTTTTGAAATTCTCTTTGAATGATAATTTGTTTCATTTGTTTTTTCTCTCGAATTTCGACTTCAACTTCTGATTTGCAATAATGACATTTAGTGCAATACCGATAAGAGTTGATATGCAGTCCAGATCTTCCAGCAACAGTACATGTTCATAATAACATTGAATGGCATTTATTGTAATATTCACATCAATCAGTTACGATAGATTGATATTGAAAACAGTGCCATTTAATACGTGGAATATTCATAATGACATGTGACTGGTTATTGATGTCATTATAAAATATATTAGACAAACCAATAGCGTACAAGTAGACATGGGTATTAATGAAGCAAAATCTATCGATTATTATGAGAAATAGGGAGTGTTGCTAGGTAACAAAAAAATTGAAAATTTCTTTAATGGGAAAAAAAATCATTTTAAGAAAAGAAATTAAATAAAATGATCAATCCATCTGCGACAGCTCCTGTTCGAATTTTACCAAATAATAAAGTATATAGACAATTATTTGAAGCACAAGTATGAATTTATTTAAAAATTTAATTTGAAAAAAATTGAAATTTGTTCTCTTCACCTTTTTTTCCCATCAGGTACAATTAAGTGATGCTTATAATCGAGTACGAAATAACCAATTATCACAATCTGTTAACATCACTTCACGTCCAAATGCTGTACCACTTATACGAAATTTCAAACCACATGGTACCTTTATTTACAATATAGAAAAATTCAAATTAACAATTCATAAAAAATATCAAGGATAGTTAGAGTAAAATTAAGTTCGTATTCTAGGGGGAATAAATAATAAACAATGAGTAAAAATTACTCAAACATTTTGAATGAGAATTTTGTACTTTATTAGTATCTATTTTAGTCTATAGTACAGATTTGATAATGAATTTTTTGTACAAAAGAAAAAGGAAGAAGTCAGTTAAAAAGTAATTGAAATGTTTCGCATGATTCTACTGAATTTAACAATATTATTCTGAAAAATATTATCGATATTACTGACCGAAGGCAATCAATATTTGTGTATGAGTGAGACATGATGTAAAAATATAAAGAAAAATGTCGACTAAAAAAAGTTTAGGTGTATATAAGAGAGAGTAGACAAGTCTTCTACCCACATTCAGAGATCAGCACTGATTGACAATCATCCATTATATTAGTATAAATACATATGCAATGCTCGAAGAACAACATAGGTAAAAGAATGAAACCATCAAAAGAAAAATGCTTGCATCATTCTATTTGAGTAATCTCTTATTACTCGTCTTTTTTCCTTATCTACTCTTTACGTTCGATGTTTTTCTTTCTTTCGACTTTTTTCTTTTCTGTGTTTTTTATGGACGATACCTGGAGTTTGAGAAAGACAATATGTTTTCTTTTTAACAGAAGACAAAAAGAAATTTTGCTTGTTGGAGAAAGAATGAAAGTTTTACACGATTGAGAGAGTACCATATTTTCGACTAGAGCAGCCTTCATACTCTTGAGATAAATATTCATAAATTTTATCAAAATTGATAGCTAAAGATTTTCATATGATTTCGTAGGTTATATAGTCTATTTTCGGATAAACTATAGTTTACTAGTTCAACAAAATTTCATTTATACAACGAATAGTTGTTGATAGACAAGACAAAAATGAAGATATCATGTATCTTTATTACATTTCTTCATATTAATATTTCATCTAGCATGAGGAACAGTGCTTCTTTGATGATCGAATTGTCTTTCTCGAAATTCCTGATTTGGTTTCGGCTCTCTATTTTGAACTTTAGAAAAAGACAAAGAGATAAACATGGATTTCATAATCTAAACTCATTTTGTATTTTGTTTGTCATTTGAAAACTTGAAAATAAAAATATAACTTAGTCATTTTATAATTACATTTTCTCATTTAGAAACACAGAAAAAAAAATGGTTGACAAGTATGTCATTTAGTAATGATTCTAGTATTAATCCAATAACAATTTCGTATGATTTTAAAAATCTTTCCTATTCTAAATTGAATTTCGTATCGAATAATTCAGATTTCATGATGAACGAAAACGACGTCAAAATGAACGACAACAACAATTAGATGAATTAAAACGTGAAGTTTTTAATTTACCTGATAATATTGAATATAGTTTGTATTTTATATTAAATTATTTTGCAATATAATTTTTTTTAAATAGTTGAAACTGAAAAAAATGAAAATATTATTGATGATACTACTAAGAAAGGAAATATAACTGAACGATTAGCATCTAATCGAGAAACAAAATATAATCAATTATGGGCGGAACTTTTAGAGAAAATATCTGAAACTAATCAAGTAGTTATTTAAGAAATACAATTCATTAAAAAAAAAGCCAACAAATTTTTTTAGAATTTATTAATTGAACTTGAAAAAGTCACGCGACAATGTAATACGTATTATGAACAAGGTGATAATGGTAAAAATTAATTGAAATTTATTTTCTTTTGTTGCTATTTTGAATTGTTTAATCATTTCATAGAAATTAATGAACATTTACAAAATCTAATTTATCGAAAAGAAATAACATCATTAACAATAAAGTCATTTGAATATGCATTTAATGAACTTGATCAATATCTTTCACCACGTCTTTCACAAATTCAAGAATATTGTCAATCAATTGAAGATCTTGAATTAGAACGAATTCATAAAGTATGTTTACTATTGTTTAAAAGACAAAATCTCATTTTGTTTTTTTGTTTAAAAATACAATTAGATTCGTGATTTATTTAAATATTATTCTGATCGTTTATATAGAACACATCATTTATCCGATAAAGATACTGCGTATGAATTAGAAAAACAAGCGAATGTTAGTATTGAAAATAACTGAATATAAAAGATTTAAAAAAAAAGAAGAATTTTCTCCATTGAAAATAGGAATTAAATACACACATATTTGATAATCGTCGAATATATGCTGAACTTGAAGCAAAATTATTAGGAGGTGAAACTGTTCGGATACATCGATATCAAGCTGAACTTGTTAATTATCAAAACAAATGGAGAGATGCAACATGGATTATACATAAACAAACATGGATGTAAGATAATAATTTCTTTTTTTTCTGGACAGTTTACTCTTTGATTTATTTTTTTCAGTTCAAAATTATCACAATGTAGAGCAAAATTAGAACCAACAATTTTATCAACATGTGAATCAATTGGTACAGATATTACTACACAAACAAATTTGTTTATAGAGCATATACATAAATTAAAGTAATTTAATAATTATTTTAGAATTAAATAATGGATAATTTCTTTATAGTTCATTCGTTCCACCTACATCAACACGTGAAAATGCACAAAAATGGTATAATCAAGGTTATGATATAGCTAATAAAATAGTTAATAAACGACAAGCACTCGTTCAGCAAATAAATGAAATTATTAATAATGAAATAAATTTATTAGAAAAAGAATCACAATCAATTCGAGTAAAAAAAACCTAATAACAACTATTGAATAAAATATTATTGTTTATTTTAATTTAATAGGAAAAAGTTCTTCATACTCACGTTTATAATGAGGAACAATTACAAGCTGCATTTGAACGTGATATTGAACCATTGTTTACAGAGCGAAAACAGTTTTTACAAGAATCAATTCTCAATCGAACTAAGGTATGAGAGATTTTTGGCGAAGAATCACATGTTTGTATATATAACTGGCTGTGAATTAACAAAGAAAAGATCTAGAATCAAATGTTTTTCATATGGTGAAATGCATTAATTTCAGATATGTCGGCTCTAATGTGTTATAAAATAGAGATCGAAGCAAACACCTTTCCGACTTACATTGGGAATAAAAATTCTACTATCTCTGTTTCAAGTCAAGATAAAAGAACGTTTTGAAATAAGACACTTTTCAAAACCTTCATAAGTATGGAAAAAGATTGAAGACAAATGAATTATCTATGGGATAAAACATCAACGATTTTGTATGACTTACTGTTCAACTTTTATTTCAATTTTCGGAACAACTTCTAAAGGATATCTGTAAAAACTGCGGACACTCGGGAACTCCGCAAAAGCGGCAGAATCATATAGAGTTTAAAACAAATAGTAAACGGACAGCCGTTGTGGGCTACACGTCTTTGTTTTCAACAGGAAAATATCATTTTTCGTGGACACGGACACTCATGTTTATTTTGATTTTTACGAATAAAATATGTTTTACAATTAAAGATCAAAGTAACAATGAGTAAATTTTAGGCACTTGTAAAAACTATGGATATCTACTGTTACCTTCGTTTTAATTGTAAAAGATGATAACAATACTTAGCTTAATGTTTAAGTGTAAAACATCTCGTATAAGTAAAAAACAAAGCAAACATGGGTGTCCACAGTTTTTATAGATGCCCACTTATATGTAGAAATGAAATCGGTTAGTTCGAATTGCTCACATTTAAAACTCCTCGTACAGTTGCAACAGGTATTCCATTGAAAGTTGTAGAAACCGCATCTACATTTAAGTCGTAGAAAGCTAATTGTTGTAAAGTGTCGAAGTTTTTACAGCCTCGAATGATATCATACATTCTATGAGCGACATTCATTCGAAAACAAAAAACTAAAATATATCATTCTCAATGCGTGTCGATCTTTTATGCAATATTCATAATCCAATGTCTATGAAAGATAGTGTCACATTTATTTATATTCTTTCTTTGAAAGTATGAGTCGATTGCACACACTTTTTAATTAATTATTCTATGAAAATTTTCTTTCTATCTCTTATTGATTAACTATATAGATGGTCTATGAACAATTAACCAATGTCATGCATGAAATACTTGATCGTCTCTTAATATTCATAAAATCTATAGCTGAACAATGGGATGATCATCAAAATCGACTTGAACATGTTACTGTACAATTACTTACTATGATCCAAGAATATCGACGACCACATGATCTTCAAAATGAAGTAAAATTTTAGTATTCAAAAAATAAAAAATAAAATAAAATAAAATAAAACAATTTTATTTTATTTCATAGAAAAAATTAACAAAACTTGATTCAACTTTGGATGAAATGCGAAGTGCATCAAATGAAACAGCATTAGCACGTCTCTTGAATTCTTCTAATGATCAATTAGAAACTCTCAAAGCAAGGTAATAAGAACAAAAAAAACAAATTTAATTTACAAGACTAATTCATAACGTGTCATATGTTATTTAGTTATGCACAATTTTATGATGCAGAACATTCAATTGTAAATAAATATTCAGATATGATTGCTGAAGAAGTTAATCGATATAAAAATGAAATGCTTAATTATTTTCATGCTCGACAGATCGATGAAAATAAAATTGATGATCATCCTTCATCAGTACATCAATATTATACAACATCATTAACACGAACAACTTATGAACTTCAAGGTTATATTAATAATGAATCAGATACTACACAACAAATTAGTACAAATAATGAAATCGAACAATCAACAAAATCACCAACACAAAGAAGAAATTCAAATACTGTTACACGTTCAGAAGATGTATTAAATGAACAAGATCAACCACAAATGCAAACATTTCTAACTGAAAATCCAACATTATATACAGAAACATCAACAGATGAAACAATGGCTATACCATTTTATGAAGCATTTCAAATACCATCGAATCTTGTGAATTCTCTTAGGTTTAAGTAAGTTTCATTTTCATTTATTTATTTATTTATTTTGAAAGTTATTTGACTTTTTCTTTTTGTATATTAGTTTATGTCGAGCTTTTCTTGATTATTATGATCAATGGAAAGAAGAAACAATACGACGAGCTAATGCAATTATGTATTCAAAACATGATGAATTAGATAAAGAAATGGATTTTCAAATGCATTTACATGAACCAAGACGTGTACGAATCGAAACTGATATACATAATGTCAGAGCAGGTAACATTTAAATTAATATTCGCTTTATTATTTCATATAAAGACAATAGGCGAATATTTGAACTATTTGAAATTCTTCACCCGCAAAAATAAAGTTAGATGAATAGAAGAGTTTACCGTCCGACTTACTTTCTGTTTAAAGCAACAGCTGATAAGTATTCAGAAATGAATAAGCATCATTACAAATTATTTGCTAAAAGAAAACTACAGATTGTTATATCTAACAACTACAATAATAAATGGAACTGTGAAAAATATTTAGATTAATAAATTCAATACAATAGTTCTTTATGATATGTTGCATAAGGGTAATCCAGTATACAAAGCTTGACAGAATACTCAATGGTTTTTTTTAAACCATTAAGTTGAACCAGGAACGGATGGAGCAAAAATTTTGCACTCATTTTCACTTGTTTTTATAGCGTTCCAATGCAATATTGTAGAGGCTTTATCCTTATTCTTTTTATTTGTTAGAAAGAGTAAGATATTTACTGCAAATATATATATGCGTAAAAGAATTTGAACGGAAATGTTTTCTGACGACTACAAAAACTTTAGAAGAAAAGATATTGAAAAAGTCTTCCGCTGCTTCGGTGATAAATTTTTATTCAAATGTATTTGTTTGAACTTTTTCATGATTGACTTTTCGATGTTTTTCCAGCAACATAAATATACGACTGTTCATTACAATGAAGGCTTTCATATGATATTAAAATAGTTGCTATAATATATAAGAGATTGAACAATAAATACTTTCATTTAAAATTCAATTTGGCATTTATAAAGCAAAAACAAGGTTTTGTCTCACAAGGAAAGCCTTCCAAGTGTTCAATCGTTTTTGGGTCGAGACTAGGTGCATTATGCGCATCAAAGTAAGTTATGAATACCTTAGGAAGAGTTGGTACCCTTAGCTTATTGCTACGGTGATATTGCACTTTTGCGATATTTTTTTAAATAAATGCTATGGCTCCTCTAAGAAACGTCAGGAAAACTGTTTTTCGAATTCCACCTTGAAACTTTGTATAGAGACAGATCTTAACGAGAATAGCTTCCATGAATGATTCAGATTTTGTCCCTCTTCTTATCCTAAGATACAACTATAGTAATAGTATGTCTTGCACATCATACATATAAACCAGTAGATTTAATGTTCTTAGTTCAAGATAGAAGTAAAATCAAAAGACCTGAAACTTTTACAATAAACTACTCCCATCAAGACCTGTCTCTATAAAAAGTTTCATGTCGAAATTCAAAGATCAGTTTTTCGGATATTTCTGAGGGGACTACAGCATTTATTTAAAAAATACCATACAAGTACAATATCTCCGTAGCAATAAGCTAACGACGCCAATTCTTTTCAGAGTATTCATAGTTTATTTGGCTCTACATAATTCACATAGTCTTAACTCAAAAGCAATTGAAGGACTTTCCTCGTGAATATTTCACAAAGAAGCCCTGTCTTATTTTAAATAATATCGTTTAGTAGAAAACTCAATAAGCTTTCTTTTTCATATAAAAAATTAATATCTTCTGATAATTTCTCTTTTGCAGTAGAATTGAGTTGTTCGGTTATGATGACTAGTTACGCAAAAAATTGATGATACCCAAAGATGTGATAAAAGCTTTGTAAAAAACATCGAATATTTCTTCTATTGATACACTAATAGCACTCTATTCTTACGTTATAAAACTCAGAAAGGAAGAATAAAAATGGAAACCTTTTTTAATTGAATGAAGTTTTTTTTTCTGAATTCAAAAAAGTTACAAAAAAAGTTTTCCAATACCTTTAGCTCTAAGATTTTTGTAACGTTCGCGAAAGATTTCCGATCAAATTTTTGCATTAAGCACCCTGCTCTTTCTAACAAACAAAAAAAAACAGGATAATATCTCTACAATATTGTATTGCAACTCTATATTAAAAAACAAAAATGAATGCAGAATATCTTGACTCAACATGCTATTCCTAATCGATAAAAAAAGAAAAAGAAAACAAAAAAACTAGTACAATACAATATCAATTATAATCAAATTTAAGAGAAAAAACAAACGATCAAATATTAACTATGTTAATTGACCAAAAACTAATCTTTTATCTAACTAATTCTGTTTATTTTGTTCGACTGATTTGTTTTATTTTTATTTTTTATTAGCTGAAATTGTTATGCATGACGAACGAGTTGAACGTCATATACGTGGTGTTCAAGAAACATTAGAACAAATTGATGCTGATTATGGTCGAATGTTAAAAGACTTTTCTAAATCAATCAGTACTTATAAAGATGATATATTTAATTTAGAACAAGTATTTGTTAATGCAACAACAAGTAATCGTCTTTTAGCATTACAAGATCGTTTACAAAAACAACGTGATACATTAATGAATAATATACGAGTATCATTAAGAAGTTTTCGTAAACGTTTTGATGATTCTATGCAATATTTACGACAAGCAAATGCTAAATTTCGAAAATCATTTAAGTCAGAACATTAGAATAAACAAATATTCTTTAATATCATTTTGTTTGTATTTTATTTATTTATTATAGAACGTTTTCTGAAGGTGGAAATTTTAGTCGTGATGAAATTGAAATCTATAGAAAAAAACTTGAGAAAACAATATTTCAAATAGATAAAGCTGAAACAACTATATTAAATGAATTAGAAAAACTTGAAAAAAAACAATTAGACGAAGCATCTAAAATAATGACTCAATTTCAGGAACGGTAAAACAAAAAGATAACAAAGAAAATCAAAAGAATTAAAACTAATTTAATTGTTTTTCTTTTTCTTTTAAACACTATTTAGTTTTAAAAATCATATGACTGATTTGCAATTTATTGAATTAACAAATCGATGGATAAGTGAAACACAAGTTAAAATCAAAAGTGAAGTTGCTATTAATAATGAACATGCACAAATGCTTAAAACACTTATTTTAACATATCAAGCTAAAATTGATTCGATTCTAAATCCAAATTTAGATAAACAAGTAAGAATTTTTTTTATAAGAAAAACAACTTTAATGGTACGATCTCCTCCGCTTTTCTGGAGAATGCCACATCAGAAAATTTTGAAATTTTCAGATCAGGTAGATCTTGATGAGTAGAGCAAAAGTTATCACATTGACTCAAAGTTTTCGATTTCTGTCTTCTATGAGATATTATGACAGAAATGTTCATGGCAGCAGCGTGGAAGATATTTCAAAAATACTATTGTGGCCGCTTCTTTTTTTTAAGAAGATTGTAAAATTGCATAAATTTGCATCTGATCTGAATATCTACAAGCTCAACAGTCAAAATCGTGGTGAATCTGATGGAGTCAATCTGACTGTGCTAATGTAGCACAGTGATGGAGAAGATTTTTGAAGAGTTTCTCGCAAAGCATTGCGGTAGCGACAAATTTCCTGCCGCCATAAACATCTTTGTAATGGAGTCACAACGGCTCCAATTTTTGCTCCCGCTTCTCCGAGATGCTATGTTCAATCCAATTGAATATTTTTTACGGCCACTATACACTATTTGAAATGGGTATCTTTTTATTTTTTGTACTTTGAATAAAAAGCCAAAACATCGAAGGTATCCTAAAAAACGCATGCTTTGTTGAATAGACTTTTATTTTGTAAGAGCTACCAAAAATCAACAGAACAATATTGTTTCAAACAAAAAATAATACTCATTCTAAAGAGGGTATAGTATATGTGAAAAAAGTTTCAGCTCAATTGGGCGTACTAGATGGGAGAAACGGAGATATTTCTGCATTATTTTGTTCATGAAAAAGTTGGTTTGAGAAAAATGCGAAACAATATACAATTTTCGCTATTTTCGTTACATAACTTAGATTTTTTAATACTTAAAAAAAATTTTTGGATTCCAAAATGTATTCAGTAGATAGATATGAATCCAGACTGTACCATGAACTCAAAAAAAATTGCGTGACGTAAGCGGGCGGAGCAGCCTTAAACCTTTATTTTTTTATCTTTTAGGTATCAACATTAAATGAAATTCGAGAACTTTTTCATCAAATTGTTTTAACTACATATGAACGAGCATTATATTTAAAATGTCTTAATAATGAATTAACTATACCAGCTTCACTTATTACTATTCTTAAAGATAAAGGATTAATTACTGAAAGTATTTAATTTAAATGTTAAAAAAATCGAAATTTTAACTTTTATAAATTTGGTTTTCTTTTTGGGATATTTTAGAAGCATTAGTTAATGATCTTGTTCATGTTACTGGAACAGAAGAAACAAATTTATCTCGTCGTCCATCACGAATGAGTGCTGGTATTGGTGGTAATACTGAAGAAGTTAAATCAGTTAAGTTTGCATCATCATCATCACCAACAACATCATCTTCTCGAAACAAAACAGAGTCATCTACATTAATTGGTCTTACTGGTGGACATTCAGAAGATTTAGATACAATTTCAATAATACGATCTCTTCTTCAGTATGTTATTCAAAAATAATAAAATAAAATATCAGCAAAAAAAAAACAAACTTTCTTTTTTTATTAGTCAAGAAGAACTACCAGATTCTGATGAAATTGTTGAACCAGGTGTACCTGCTGCTATAGGTTTGTATTTAATCTAATTAATTGAATAATGAAAAATAATATACAAAACTGACTTGAAACAATTAATATCCTATAGTAAAATTTTAAAAAAGAATCCTAGTATAGTTTCAATGCAAAATCATTCAAGGAAATGTATATATCTAACTGAATTCTAGGTTGTCTGTCTCTTCTCTAGATGTGACAGTCTCGAGTATATTGATCAGAGCTGTTAACAGGCTACTTTTTTCCGGCCTGGCCTGGAAGGTAAAACTAGGCTGACTGATGTTTCTGTCTTTTTTAAATTCATTAGGTTCTATAATCTTATTATAATGTATTATTCCAGTTTCAGTTATATACTTAATTTATTTTTATGAAGATAGTATAATGACAAGTTCTTGCACCAAATAATGAATTAAAACAAAGAGATAAGTCATCAAAAGTATCTCTTATACAGAAAAAGATTCAATCTATTGAAATGTTTTTGAATATATATCAGCACTATTTCACATAATCAGGTAAATTTAATTATGATAGAGAAACAACATATGTTCAAGCGTACAACGAAGGAGCAAAAGGGTATGTATGTGATTGTAGGTGTGAGGGTGGGTGATTACGTATGAAGCGATGACCCACACTCATACTCTCACAAAAACATGAGCTTCTAGCACCATCTTATGCTTCAAATTATACCAGGAAAAAGAATTTGACGTCACACACAGGCCAACAACTTTGGTTTGGGCTGACCTGTTAGTCTAATTCACGATTATACGGACGGAGCAGGCCAGGTTAAAATATCAAAATTTAATTTGGCTTTATGGTCTGCCAGGCGTCTACTAGGCAACAGATCAGACTAATAGATCTGGTACTGATCACTGACCATATCATGTATACGAAAAGTTTTGCAACATTCTTTCTATGCAATTGTGTATATTTATGAAGTATTTTAAATACACATTCTCGAGATGAGATAGCATGCTATATTTTGACAATAGCGAAACTTCCTTCATTGATTACTCGTTTTCTAACGGACATCCTAGAAATATCATTGATGGATAGATCAAGTTCATTTTTGTAAAGTGTTATGAAAAATTGTAGTGTCCCTTTGTTTGATGGTCGGATATTACTGAACAAAACGGTTAAGCTAAAAGAAGGATTCGAATTCTGTATTGACAGCCATTTTTAATGGAGAAACTGAGATAAGCTATCGTCATCACATACATATAGGTTATGATAAAATACATACAAACACTGATGAAAGAGCATTTTGCAGGTACTCGAATCAGAAGTATGAAGTTTTTTGTGTGACTGTTCATAACTTGAAAAGTTTATATTCTGTTGTTATTAATAATGGTACGTAGAAGTTTGTAGAGAATCGAATGCTGCATCTTCTGAGAGGAAACTTTGGATGATATATTATTATCTCAGCTCGAGTATGTGCCAAAAAAAGAATGTTGCAAAACTTTTAGTACACCTATTTAGTACTAAACATTAAGGTTCCTTGATACTAATTTCCCTTGATTATAATTTATAAACGTCTAAATTATAGATGGAGTAGCACTCAAAATTGATCATACGCTAAACTAACGGTCTTGTCTTTCTAATATTTCAAGCTGGTTTCACCATATAAAATTGTGATTGTCGTCAAAATGTAGTTTCATTTTCATAGTTTATCTGTTCAAAATAGCAGCTATCTATGTCATATATTTGCTATACTAGAGTCGAAAGACTGAAGATGATGTCCTTTGATGTTGTTCACTTACATAAAAATGGATGGATATTGTACTTCACATTTTATTCTTTTCAATAGAAAGATTTATTTTAGAAATATTTCAATAAAAAATTCAGTTTCATCTCAGTCAAAATATTTTCAATATTTATTTTCTTGTTCAAAAAGTTGAAATACGAAAATCGTAGTCACGCAGTAAGTGTAATCAATTTCGAGTAAAATCAAAGTGCATCATCTTTTGTATTTCTAGTCTAGTAACGACATAGAGATATTAGAAAAACAAGAGTATTGATTAGGTACATGATCAATGTTGAGTGTCACCATAATTCGGATTTTCGATATCTTGTTAAAACATAAAAAGGAAAATCAAAATTTCGGCCCGATCTGAAATGCCTCTCGTTAATTCTCATCAAAAGCATTATTTATATCAATTATTAGTACACTCTATAATGCTTAGCAATGTTCATTTTCATTAAAAAGTACTCAATAGCAGCATGCATTTAAATCAAACAACAGTTCTAGAGTTCTATTCAATAAGATGCCGTCGAAAAAGTGACAATATTTATTAATAAACATTGATTAGTTAAAGGTGGATTAGAGAAGCATCACTTAATAGTACTTTAAGCACTCAATTTTTTACGTGGGTATTTATTGCATATAAGTAATAATTGTCTCAAAATCCCACACCACTTCTTATAGGACAAAAGCAGAATACTCAGGACTATGTCATCGTACTGAATACTACGTTTTATTTAAAATACATGCCGCTAAGCACAACAGAGTGTACCAACTGTTTATAAAATTTTTGGGTTTTAGAGAAGTTAATGAGATGAATTTGAGCCCAGACTGAAAGTTCTGTATGACGGGTGGTCTGGGTTGAAAAGTCACCGGAATTTCGTACCGAGTCGCAATTCATGTAACCCCATATAATTACTAATACAATTGGCTTACATTGATGATTAAAGCTAATAATATAAAGAAAAGTAACAGAGTTAATATCCGTGCACTAGTGTTCCAATAAACTTCAGTATCGATAATATTAATATCAGTAGTTCTATGTTAACACCAAAGTTAATAATACGGAGATTCTCATTCTTGATTTCTTGAATATGTTAAAATACGTATTATGATTTTTAGAACTGAACACACGTCCAATTGTTTCTGATTCTCCAACACCATCATCACATGGAAAAAAATCCAAACAAAATGATAAAAGTCAAAGTTTATCAAATAAAGAGTAAAAGTCTATTTATATTTTTAATTATATAAGAATAAAATTGTAAAGAAATTCTATTAATAGATCATCAAGTGATGAAACAAGACCAGCTACTCGACGTGATCGTCCAATTCGTGCTAGAACACGTGATGAAATCTATAATCTTTATTGTACATTTGGTGAAAAAAAACATACTGGTCAAGATTTCTTATCTAAAATATTAAATATTCTACGAGAATCAACTGAAGGTTTATTTACACATTCTGAAGTAAATTTCATAAAATTATCTTTATTATTAATATTTATCTGTGGTTTTTTCAATCAGATATTTTATAGAGATAAAGGTGTTCGTCCTGTAACACGTCCTCAAGCATTACGTGAAAAATTTGATGAATTTGCACAAGTGATGATAGAAAAGCTTAAAAATTATGAAGAACAATGTCGTTCTTATCATGAAAATTCAATAAATGGTATAAAGAAGTTATTTTGTTCTTACAAAAAAAGATTTTTTTTTTGTAGAATTTCGTAACGTACTTGAATTATTTGAACGTACATCAACTTTAATGGCTAAAATTGAATTTAATGAACAATTATTTCAAGCTGAAGAAATTCTTTTTAATTGTAAACAACAATTTGATATGACATTAAATAAAGAATTAAATGAATCTAATAATGAAAAACAAATAAATTTTCAACAACTTCGTCCAACATTTGGAGATCCAGCAAAAAAAAATCATTTACAAACGATTGATAATCAAGAAAAATTACGTCAAGATAATGTACAAAAAATATGTAATGAACTTCGAGCAAATACAATTGTAAATAATGATTTCATAAAATTAAATTTATAACAAAGAAAATCTTTTTGTTTTATTTTCAGAAAAATATTCAAATAAATTCACAAGAAACAATTAATTCATTAGCAACAAATGCTGAACGTTTATTAATTCTTTTTGATGAAATATTAACAGCTGATGAAATAACACGAACAAGTATAATGAGAAAAACAATGAATGCCGAGAGAACATTTGCATATGTCAAATTGCCTTTCAGTCGGCACTACATACAGTAGTAAACAAAAGTTTCTCATCGTCCCCCCTCTTGTATCTCGACTATCATACACGCTATAGATCAGAAAAGTTCTGGTTATCTACCGTATTAATTTCATCGAAGTTTATCAATCCTTCTTAGAATTGTAGCCATTTTTACAGGACCGTTTGGGAGGAAGCAAAACTATCTGCTAGCCTTTGAAGACCATAACTTAGTAATAGTAGTTTAGTGAATCGATCTAAAATGTGTGCATAAGCTTTATTTGTAGTGGTGCATTATTACCTACAAATTTCATGAAAATAAAATCCCATCGGATTAATCATCATGTTGATACAGAGAACTCAAAGATATGCAGAAACAACAATCTTCGATTAAATTACCCGATCTTTCGATTAAAAAAAAGAGCATACACTGAACTCTACTTGCATGCTAAACTATCAAGAATTAGTAATGTACTTTTAGACAAAAAGCTTGAAGTAAAGATAGACGCCCTTCATCATAATGTTCGTTGTATTGATGCACTAGGGGCGACAAATTTTTAAAACTCCAGCATGTACAGGTAGCCGAGATACGGAAGAAGTGGAAAAATTTTGTTCACTATTGGAGACCCTAAGATGACCGGACAATTCGACGCAGGAATATTTGTTGCGCGTGTGTGGATGTGGATGTTGGTGTGAGTGAGGATCTTTTGTGTACTCCTATTGGCACACTCACCTATATTCGATGCTTCTTCAGGATACATTAGAGTTAGTATGTTATGAGACGAATTGTCCTAGTACCGATTCTAATGACTTATGAATACCCTGAGAACAATTCGAGCTCTTAATTGATCACTGTCGAGATACTACGTTTTTACGATATTTTTTTCGCACTATGCTGTGCTTCTTCTCAGGAACATCCGAACCATTGCATTTCAAATTTTGACTTGAAGTTTTCCACAGACTCAACTCTTAACAAAAATAATGTATTGTGAAAGTTTCAGATCTTTGGCTGACTCCTATTCTAAGATATGGTGATGGTAAAAACATGCCTTTTTTTAGTATCGCTCATATACAACGATAGATTTCGATTTTCTTATTTCAGAATATGAGTAATCAAATTGATCTGGAACTTTCACAATAAACTATTTTCGTTAAGAGTTGTGTCTGTGAAAAACTTCAAGTCGAAATTTGAAATGCGGTGGTCCGGATATTCATGAGAGAAAGCACAGCAGAGTGCAAAGAAATATCGTAAAAATACGGTACTTCAACAGCAATAAACTAAGCATCTGATGTCTTCTCAGGATATTCATAATTCATATAGTGCTGAATCAAAAGTAATTTGACACTTACAAACATTTCTTCGTAAGAATAATTCATCTATCGAAAATTTTTATACTTTTAGAATTACCTAAAGTCAAACAATCGCTGTCGGAATTATTAAGACGTCAACAAACTGGAGGACCTTTAGAAGATTCTGAACCAACTCCATTAATTGAACGTAAACAAGGTCATTGGCCAGGTATATTGAAATATTCTTTTTTTTTCTAACATGAATAGTTAAATATATATATTTCTTTAGGTTTACCATTACTTGATGATCAATTAAATCCACGACGTGACTCTACAAAATCAAAAAAACGTTCATCAATAGCTACTCAACGACAAACAACATCAGCTTCGATTGTTACACAAAAAACAACATTACCACAAATTGAAACAATAAAACAAAGAGATCAAGTTTATCAAGTTAGAATTTAGTTCTTGTTTTATTTTTTTAACTATTAATATGTTGTTCTTTTTTAATTATTTATTATAGAGATATAAAGAAATATTAATTCAAATATTAGCTGACGTTGAAGGAGAATGTTCAGCAGTATTAGCCGAACTTGATCGCGATCGATCATATTGGAAATCATCAATTGAAAAATTACAACAATTAAGAACAAATTAAAAAGAAATTTTTTTTTTATAGTGAGAAAGGTCAAAAAACAAAATTTTTTATTTTTCATCCGTTTTCTATTTGAATAGAATTGACATACTGACATTGATATAAATTAAATATTTATTTTTCATACATATTTATGTATTAATACTCATAAGATGTGAATAAAAAAAACCCAAGAATTATAATATAAAATTTCTTTTCTTCTCTAATCTAATCCATTCATATATTCGAATGTGATGAAAACTCTTAAAAAAGAGCATTTACTTTCTTCAACGACCGTTGAACAATTATCTTAAACTTAGAACAAGAGGTGTACAATTACAGCATTCTTCATTAGTTATAATGATCATTACTGATCAATTTATTGATACAGCAGCAAGTGTGTTGGTAGCAATCGTTTTCTATCTAATGAGCGATTTATTTTTAGTATTGAAAAAAAGAAACAAATGTTAAACGTGATTGAAACATGTCAATAATCCGTTTCTTTTGTTCCGAATATTCATGTCAAAATAGGTTTTTCTTGCACAATCGGATTATCAATTGTTTGACAATTCACAACTTGGTCCATCATATAAACATATGCTATATCATTTTTATTATTTAATAAAAAAAATGAATCTGAAATAGTTTCTGATCATTACAAACGATCAATCGATTTTCTTTTGCAACTATCGATAACGATATGAACTTCCGTTCTTATTTGAAGCTATGACTATTTTTCAACGACATTTTATGTTCATTCATGTAACTATAGATGAAATATTTAACTAACAAGGAAAGTCTTCCAACTTTTCAATCACTTTTGAGTCAAGACTACGCGTATCATGTAGACCCAAATGAACTATGAATATTCTGAAATGAGTTCGTTCTCTGAGCTTATTAGTGCAGAAATACTGCACTTTTACGGTATTCTTTTTTAATGAGTGCCGTGATAACAAAACAACTGATTTTTACATTTTGACTTGAAACTTTGCATAGAGATAGCCCTTAATGAGAATGGTTTCTTTCATAAATATTTCAATTCTTGTCACTGTTTCTATTCTAAGATATTACAACTATAATAAAAGCGTGTCTTTTATATCGCTTATATAAACTAGCAGATTTGATGTTCTTATATCAGCGTAGAAGCACATCAAAATACTTGAAACTTTCAGAATAAACTATTCTCATTAAGATCTTTCTCTATGGAAAGTTTCATTTCGAAAATCAAAAATCAGGTTTTCTCATGTTTCTGAGGAACCCATGGTATTCATTTTAGAAAATACGGCAAAAGTGTAGTATCTTCATAGCAATACGCTAAGGACATGAACTCTTTCGAGAGTATTCATAGCTCATTTATAATTTATTTAACAACTTTAAATAATGATTAAATCAAAAACTGACCGATTGACTAATAGACAAATAACATTCATTTTAAAAAAACCGATTAATTCATTAGAAGCGACTTGTTGAATTATGTTGTATGATGACATAATTTATCACTTAGGTGGTTAGTCGAAAATTATGATGTTATATTAATTTTTATTGGTTATGGAGCAAAGAAAATGTTTAACAATATTTTCATTTGATCTATTTCTAGTCTTATTTTTCGCATTCGATCATCATGAATCGACATTTTTATTATATTGATGATAATTGTTATAACCTCGGCTTCTAGAATCGAAGGCAGCTCACAAAAAAGATTTCACAAGACGTAATAGAAGATCATGGGTTTTCCAAAAGTCTTTTTTCGTAAAGCCCATTGATTTTTTTGCGGTTTTAACACCTAAAAACTCGGATTTTGAGTAAAAGTGATTTATTATAATAAAAATGACCACTTTTTCTAATAAAAAAAGTGTACTTCCTAGTAAAAATCCTGGTTTTCTGACGCTTAATTGCTAAAAGCGCTTATCTTGCAATAGAAAGCTATTTTTAGAGGAGCTATGTGTATTTCCATAACAGAAGATCATGAGCTTGTATTCTAATGGTGGGAAGGAAGGGGAAGATTATGGTGTCTAAGTGCATACTTGAAAATATCGGAAAAAAAACTCTATTTAATTCTTTTTTCGAAGTCATGAAAGATTGATACTTAGTGATACTTGACAAATTGATAATTATAATACAGAAATTTATTTGAATGATAAAGACGATATTTGATAATGATATTTTCAACGTTATGCATATTTATTAATAAGCTTCTTATATCAATAAAAATAAAGTTAATTAAATTTGTTATTTTCTTTTTCATTTAAAGAAATTAAAGTTCCATGAGATTGAATGGATACTATACAATATTATTCTAAACTAGATTATGATTGTATGGTGAATCGATACGATTAGAAGTTGAACAAAAATTAAATCTAGATATCAACAACTTATAGTAAAACAATTATTTTATTATCAATATCTTCTTTATTACATAACTGTTTTACATAGTTATTCAGATACATACATAGAAAAAGATTCTATTGTTTTTATTTTAGATTATTTAGAATTATGGTCATAGTGAAAATGATATTTCACTCTCATAGGTTGATTAAATGGATATTATTCGAAATGTCTCTTCATTATTAAAACTGATTACCAGCCAAAATAAATAAATAATGATAAGTTTTAATTTATATGCTTTTTTTTGGAATGATTTCAAAAACTTTCGAACAGAACAGACTGAAGATCTGTTCAAGTCCATTTGTACATGCAACACAATAGATTAGCTTGGAACTATATTTAGTATTTGTCTGCGGATAATTGTAAAACAAATGAAAATTAAAATTTATGATAAAAGAAATAGATTCGAATATTAAAATAAAACTTAGCATTTCAAATTTAGTACAACGAAAGCTTCAATACCGACAGAAGATGTTGTCGTTTCGATAAAAAAATTACTACCTGTTTCTTCGAGCAAAAACTGAGTTGTTGTTCTTTCGAATGGGCTTTGAATTTTTGTTTTTTAGATTATGACCATCTTGCTTTCTTAATCATCATTCTAGTTTCGTTATTGTCTAACGAGGAAATATTTTCAAGTGATCTGTTCTATTTATCTCTATATTTTGCCAATATGCAGGATATCACTAGACTAGTGTAACTTCTAAAGCTTTTCTATTCGTGCTTAGATTTGATTGAGATAGCAACTTTTCAGTAGATTCCTCTTACAAGAGTCTAGTATTCGAAAAAAAAATGCTTAGGAATTTCAACCGAAAACTTTGTACGCATGAAGTCTCGATTAGACTATCTCATATACAAAGTTTTATCAGTTTCGGATGTTGCATTAATAAGATATAGATTTCTCAATATATCTATGCTTTTCTTTAAGTGCTGTGTAAGATAGGAATATACTGAGAAATCTATATCTTAGTAATGCATTATCCAAAATTGATGAAACTTAATATATGATATGATCTAATCACAGCATTCATGTGTACCAAAATTTCACATCGAAATTCTCAAATACATTTTTTTCCAAAAACTGGACTACTGCAGGAGGACTCTACTGAATAGTCGCTCTCTCGATTAAATCTACGCATATGCAGAAAACCTTTAAAGATTATGCTACTCTAATGATCTTCTCTATATCGGCAAAATATGAGGGGCAAATAGAGCGGATTACATGAAAATATTCTCTAATTAGTAATTTACTAAGGACCTATTTATAATCTTTCGAAAAATTCTACTGCAATGGCTTAACTAGATTATGATGTTAAAAGTAATAAAATTAATATGAGACGAAGTAAGTTTTTATCATCAGTCTATTAATGATAAGATTCTATCGATGGTCAATAACAATTTGATTATCATTATTTACTTTTTCAATACAAAAATTATATCGAATTATTAGTGTTTATAATTTTTTTAATGATTATCAAGTTTTCATATGCTCTTCTATGTATATATGTCAAATTTCTTTTAAAAATTCGTATCATATCGATTATTTAATATAAAAATTTATTTAGAAAAAAGACAAAAAGAAACAAAATTTTGTCAATAAAATACGTATGACACTAAACAAGCGGCGATACCAATATGATTGGCCAAACACATTCTTCAAAACAAATTAGAAATAAATATTTACAATTCTTTAAATAATTTACATTTAAAAAAGAAAAAAAGTAACATATCTCACCAATATTCTGCTGTCATCAATCACCAACATATATTGAGGCAGTTACGTATAGGCATACTTGATAAGTCGACAAAATCATTGTCGCAGACCATGCTGATTATAAAGTTTAATTTTTAGAAATTGCTTTGTTGTGTACTAGAACGTATTATTCGACATTTGTCGAAGGTCATGTATTATAGAACTAGGACTACAACCACTACAATACATCCAGCGTATCAAGACGATTGCGATTATAATGGATGATAATATTCGTATGTAGCAAAAATCGATTAATCCACTAATATATTATGTACAATCAGGATGTTTGAAGTAACATTTGACTTAATTCATATATATTTCAATTATGTGATGAGAAGAAAAGAAATTGCTCTTTATTGTTTCGGCTTGAATGATTGAAGAATAAAAATAACGCTCAATGATTAATATGCTGCATCAAAACAAAAATTTATGTTCTGGTATAATAATGGAAAATGGTCATGATACCACGCTGGTGATATTGTATATAATCATTTATGTAAAAAGAAAAAAATGGCTGCAATTATAAATTATCTATACATTACGAAAAATAAATGTTAGTAGTAATGAAAAGAAAGAATGAATTGATATATCTTTTTTCTTTGTTTTAACAACGAAGATAGATGAAAAGAAAACGACTCTTATTTTGCTTATGAAACTTATCAATAGATTTGGTACAATGTGTACACACGCATGTCTAATCATGACAAAACGATAAAAATAAAAACAACGATAATTTTTCACCTGTCTCTTTCATATTATAATGATAGAAGAAAGAAAAAGAGTATTAACATCAAGGTGTATCGTTCATCATTTATATTTTATCGTGCAAAATCCCATTATCATTGTATTCATTATGTGACAGTTATAAATTTCTTGTGATTTTCGTTAATGTTAAATGCACCCAGTTAATAAGACAATAGAATATGAGCAAAGTAATCACATTGAAAAAGATGGTCTTCCCTTGTTGCTTTTTTAATTCAATGGAATAGCAATGAAAATAATTTTAGATAAAGAGATTAGAGTTTCATGAGATAACATTTTTGGTATATTTTGACTTTTAAAAATTTATAAAAGATTATTCGTATAGGCAAATATTACCTAAAACAGTTCAATATCTATAAAACGCATAGATCCAATTTATTCATTTTTATTATTAAAATTCTTTGAAATTCGTTAACATAAGATTATTTTTATCAATTCATATTGTCTGTCTACCATTTGAAATTGTTATTATGCCTATTTTTGTTGATATTATTCTCAGAATTATTTTTTTACTATACATAAAATGATAAACAAATTATCTTTTGAGTATATTATATATTGATAATTTACAATATTTTGCTAGTAATAAGTTAAAAACAGATAGACAGCTTGTCTGTAGTAATTTTACCAACTTATTCAAAAATCAACAGATATTAACTTAACATTTATCAATGTTAATAAATCATCAGAATTTATACTCATGAAAATATTTCGATTGTTATGATAATTTCTAGTGGTACTGTCCTAGTGAGTCGGACAGAATTGTATCGATCAAATAATCATATTTAGATTAATAAATTGTTATTAAGAATTATCTCTATAATTTATCCACTATCTTATCCTCTTAAGAATATATTTCTTTATTTTACGCACAGCATGATTTCCTTTCTAGATATTTGTTTTGTTATATATATATATGGTTATACAAGTTGTTTTGGATCTAAAATGTCTCCAATCCTTTTTTGCTTCCATAAGTAATTGTCCTTGTAAAAATGATCTTCTAAGTGAATGTCCTTAGTAAAAATGTCCTTGATCTTCGATTTTTATTTTTCAAATATCTTATTATTAAAACGTAGAGTGTGAGTGTAAATGGTCCACTTAACCTCCAGCTATGCTGTCAACACTAAAGAATTATATGATTAGTTCATCAAGAACCAAATTACATCGTAAGAATTATTACTTAAACTTTCGTTTCTTTTTTTTGTGGCAAATAAAAAATAGAATTAATCGATTATAATAAAATAAGTTACATAATTAAAATTATCATCAAGATAGTTTATATTTTACGCTTGACAAAATTTTTCTTAAGGATATCTACTCTAAAGAGTAGTTTAAATTATTTACTCACAAATTGATATATTTATATATTTCTTTACTTTTGTATTTGTCGATTCATATTTTCAAAAGATTTTATTTGAAAAAAAATTGAAATATTAGTTAATTTTACTTGATTATTCTATGAGATATATATTTAGAAAAGAAAATTGATCATAAGTAATTGTATATTCCATAAAGATACTATGGAAATATACTGAGAAGTCTAGGAATGATACATTTGCGGAATTATTCTATATGGTAAAATTGAAATAGACAAATTATTATTGCAACATAACTTTTTAGATCTTCTTGTGTTCATAGAAACCATCAACATTCTGAGATTCTTCGTCGAATAAAGCTCTCATATCTTCCATTGCTTGACGAATACGTTGACCAAATCGTTTTGAATCCTAATATAATATCAATTTGAAAAAAAATATGTAAAACCAATTAATCTATGTCTCACTGTTTCTGGTGCAGATCTATTAGATGAAATATGAAAATAGATTAAATCTTCTGTAGCAATTATATAACTGACACCATATCCATCAGCAGCTACCTACAAAAAAAAATATTTAAATTTAAAATCTTATAATTAAAATTATTTTTAATAGTCGATAGTAACAAAGCACAAGATAAATAATAATAATTAATGATGTAATTTAATCATTCGATAAATCGAAAGAAAATGTTACTTACTGGTCCAAAACCGCCACCAAGTGGTACCAAACTGTGGCTATTAATAATTCCATATCTAGCTACCACATCTGGATTTTTAGCCATCAATCGTTTTAAATGTTGATCATCATAAGTTACTGGCGTCTTATACATATAAAATTTATTTCAAAAGAATTTTTGATTTTTTTTTCGTTTAACTTACTTGACTTGTAGATAATTTCCAAGGTTCATGAAGAACTTGTTGAAGAAATGGTGATTCGATTTCCAGATATTTTGATAAAACATATAAACAGAATAAATGACGATCAATACCTTTACCAGTCATTGCATCACGATATTGTTGTTGATGATAATCACATGCACGACGAAGTAATTTAATACGTTCATTTTTCTATTAAAAAAAAATCAATAGAATAAATTTTTACGAATTTATGTTAGTTGATTTTTTTTTCTTTTACCGTAACTGTTGGATTCTCCATTGATTTAACCCATTGACTTGATTCAATTGAACATGAACGAACTGTTTCTGTTCGACCATCACGAAATAATCGTGTCATTGATGCTTCATATGTTAAATTAAATCGACCAGAATCCTTTAAAATAATCATAAAAATAAATAAATAAATAAATAAATAAATCTTTTTTTTTACTCGATAATGAGCTAATTGAAGTGCCATTTGAATATAAGCATCCGGTGATAATTTACATTTTTTCATAAAACCTTTTCCATATGCATTATGAACATAAACATGAAGATCAACATTTTCATATAAGTTTTTTGCTTGAGCAAGACTTTTTTCAATCATATTATTGCACTAAAAATTTTAATTAATATAGAATAATAATAATTTAAAAAAAAATTAATTACAGCTTCTGGTATTAACCATTTAAGTTTAATTGGTTTAAGTGCAACAAAACGTGGTGTACCACGTGTATTACCAAGTTCATCATAACTTAAATTATAGATTTATCTAATGAAAAACAAAGAAACAAAATAATATAAGCATACCTAAAATTCACAATATCTTCTGCAATCATATATTCATACAAGTGAACAGAAACTGGAGCATCAGCCTTAAATATTTCAATTATTTATTATACAAAATATAGAATGTTTCAAAAGTTCGGACAAAAAAGAAAAAAAATCGTGAATAGCTCCTCAGTTACTCAAGGGTTTTAAATATTTGATCATTTATTCATTAAATTTTTCAGATAAAATGTCTTTGTCTACAGAAGTCAGAATTAAAATAGTTTTGCTAATGGTCAAATTCAAGTCAGCTACCATTGTAAAACTAATGTTGCAAGTCGAGCTCGATAAAAACACGCCAACTGAATCCTGTATTACAGTACACCTCAAAAGTTTCGCATCACTTTTTTGTTTCGAGTCGTGTATTAAACTACACAACATTAGTTTAATTCGACTATATACCTATACAGTAGAAGTTGAGTACTATGAATATATACACCTGTTTAATACGATACAGCCTTGAATATGAAATACAATAAAAAGAAAACAAATTCCAGTGCTAAGCAAAAAGACAAAATGATATTATTGTTACAAAGGACCCTATCAGATTAGGACAGCTGTTTTGAATTGGGAAACTAAATATATCATATTGTAGAGGAAGTCGAAACGCATCGAATGATATATAGTAAATCTTATTTCCATAAGACTTTGAAGGAACTAGAATGAATTTACTGATAGACGACTCTGCACCCAAAATATGATCAGTTACTGATCATTGTAATCCTTGACATCAGTCGAAAGTATTTGTAACTAAGCTTTCTTATTTACAGTTTTGTAGAGCTTTTCATGGACTGCAAACTCATATATTTAGCATCTCCGATTATCGTCTCTTTGATAGAGGAAAACCCGATTTTTCAATGATTTATCAATTCTTTTCACTAACGATGAGTCTCCATGTCTTCACTAGTGTTGACTATAGAAGATGTTACCAGATGCCATACTTTCTCAGACATTGCCTGCGATGTAGTAGTACAAAATACGCTATTTGAAAGTTGGAGTGTACGCGTGATTGAAAGGCAGACCCACATTGCACTGTCATACCCTCTGAATTCTGCATAGGTGATCTAATCCGATAGGATCCTTCATAAACAGTAATATCATATTGTCCTTTTTTTCTTGCACTGTCGAAAATCGATCACATTCTAGAAGATCTACAGCAATTACTGAAGAAAAAGTCAATGAAGTTAATCATGCTTGCGAAAATGAGCCACGATCAAGTTTTTCAGTCTATTGCACAAGCTTGCTTATTATTACAAATAACAACCTAGTGAATTACGACGGAACATCTCTTATTAGAGTACTATTTGTCTAACAATTCTATCAAAAAAAGTTATATTGACCGAACACTTGATCCTGACTCACTTTTATAAGCAACATTAATTGCATCGACTTTGTCTTCAATAATTATTCTATAGTCGTCTAGAATCGCATCGATTTTTTGACACTACTGGTTTTACAAAATTGTTGAAATGTGTTACGCATGCAATGTTTAATTAGGGATGCAATAAATCTAGAACAGATTTGGAATTTGTAACCAAGGGATTTAGGATTGGAATTGGAATTGGAATTGAAATTGGATTTGAATTTGGTTTCAAATCCTCAAAGTTTTGGTAAGATAAAGTGTCAACAACAACGGCTTACCTAACTAGAGTTACGATACAATCAAAAAAGAGATTTTAGGATTTTGTTGTGGGCTTAGTCGCAAATAACCCAAATTCCAAAATCCAAGCACCAAACCCAATAAGATAATTCCAAAGGCTTTGGATTTATTGCACCTCTATGTTTAGTTAGCATTTTTTTTATTTAAATTCAATTTGTAGTTACTGTTTTACAATACTAGCTTATTCGAATTTGACAATTTGGTAGAACTATTTCAGTTCTGACTTCTGTAGACGCACATTTTATCTGAGAATTTTAATGAATATGTGATCAAATTGTAAAAAAAAATATTTAAATTCTTTTCATTACTGAAGAATTATCCACATTCTTTTTTTCGTTTGGACTTTTAAAACACTCTGTATGGTTTCGTTTTTTTTTCTATCTTACCCAACTATGTTCAACATTAATTCCAACCTAAGGAAACAAAAAAAGAAGCAAAATTAAATTTTCTTTTTTTTCATCCTTTTACATACCACACCATTTTTACTAATAATAAAATTAAGTGATTTATCAAACCAACGATCATAACCTTTTCCATGAAGAACAGAACGTGCATAAGTATCAAATTTGTCTGTCGTATTCTAAATAAGAAATAAATAATAATTATCCTATGTATGAATTAGATTTCTTAATTAGTAGACACAAGTACAACGATTAGATATTAAAATATAAGTGAGATACAATAATACCAATATAGAGATTTATAACCTCATTATTTATTGATGACAATGACGAATTACTCTGTAACTAGATTAATTTAATATCCGAAAGTTTGTTTTTTTTAATGAGAAATCATCGAATAAACTTACGACTCCTATATCATATTCTTCATCATCCAAAATAAGTATAAATGCTGCTTTTTCAATAGCTTCTAATGATGAACGATTAATCCCTGTGGAAAAATATGTTTGATGTGCTTCAGCCCATAATGTACGTTCGCCAGCTGTTAATGCTCCTAAATGTTCTTCACCATAACATGGTAATGTTGGATCTTTAATAATTTCATCTAATTGACTAAAATAAAACTTTAAAGAATAATATCAAAAAATCAAAAACTAGAACAGAAAAATCATACATTTGAAGTTCACATGGTTGAAGTAAATTATCTTTATAAAACAGAAATACTTTATACCAACGACCTTTATGATAAACAGCAATATGATGACTATCTGAATAATGAACAAGTTTATCTAAGAAAAAAAAAACCAAAAGTAATTTACAAATCATTGTAAAAAATATATCATATTATTCTTCACATACCTGTTTCTTTTCCAGGTATACGTGTTGTATTAAATTGTCGTTCATATTGACTTGAACAAAGTGGAATTAAATTTTGTACCATTAGCTATAAGAAATATAACGTTTATTAAAAGAAGAAAAAAAAAAAAAATATATATATATATATATATATACTGGTTTAATATTTTGATGATCAAGTTCATTACGATATTGAAATGCAGCACAGACAATATTAGCTGCACGTGCTGTTTGAATTTTTGTTGGACGAACATAAGCAGTATCCTTAAAAAATAGAAAAAAGCTTATTAGTGCAACCTCTTTGTGGTTGAAATGTGGAATTCACATGTCTTCTTTTAATCTCATTATACTAATAGAAAATATGTAAAATGAAAAAACTCTCGCAGACTATAGTTATATCTCAAGGATAATCGATCGCCAGAGAATCGATCTATCTCACTTATTGCTGCATTTTGAGCAGAAGTTTTTTCTAGTTTTAGTTTGCCTTGTTGCTTTTCATTTTCTTATTCCGTTTTACTTAATTTAACAGTATTATTATTATTATTGATTTAATTGACAAATAAGCTTATTGTACATATCCATTATATCTCTAACAGGTCTCCACACAACATGATATATCTCGATAAGCTCACAAACACTCATATTGATTATTTCCTAAAGTTATAACTTATTCAGTTTATATTTTTTATGTTGGCCATATGACGATTGTAATAAACCGATGTATCGCTACTTATCATCCTGAATATCTTAAATATAAACTTTTATCTGCATAAAAATCAAAAACTGTATTATCTGGAACATTCACAAACATGTTCTAGTCATGCAAATGTCAAGAAAGACTTTGGAATGCTCTATAACAATCTATGTCTTGTCGTTAATGCAGTGCAGCACCTTTTTCCATCGCTAATGAATTCTAGGAAAAGAGTCTGACGCCTTTTGTTCTCGATGGCTAAAGCCTGCAATAGGGAGTCGCAAAACTTCGACTTAAACTTTCCACTCATTATTTTCTTTGAAAATATATGTGGATTCCACAAAAATAAAGACAGAAAAAATTTCTAATAATTAAAAATTCTATACATACAAGGCCATAGAAATTACTATTAACCATAATTGGTGATCGACCACGTAAATAGACAAACTTTTCCCACCAATCAGATACCTATAAGAAAAAAAAATACAAATCTAATTCTATTAAAAAATACTCAAATAATTTATTTACATAATTTGTTGATATAAGCCATTTTAACCATAAATATCTTTGTAATTTTCTTCCGATTGTTTCTCTAAATTCTTCAGCTAATGTTACCATACGATGATATTCTTCATCATTACATAATGGACGAATTGTTCTTAAATATCTTCTTAATGTATCATCTAAACTTGGTAATGGTAATGTTGGTAAAACACTTTGATATGAATATAAGGATGGATTTCGACCAATTAATAATTTAACTAAACTTCCCCATAATTTTGTACCAAATCTCATTTTTTTTCCATGCTCTTGATACATCCAACCATGATAAGAAAATAATTTTTTCAATGCAGATTGTCGAATTTGTACTAAAACTATATATGCACCAGTACCAAATACAATACATGCAAGAATTTTTGAATTATCTGGTGTAAAATATCTTTTAAATATATGTAAATCAAGCCAATCAATTAAACCATATGATGGATCATGACCTTTTGTATTAAGACCATATACAATACCACACGAAGCAATACCAAAAAGTGGATGACCAGGATATATTGTATTATATAAAGAATTCATTGTACGACGACAACGAAGTTTCCATGAACGTAAGCCCGCATAGAGCAGTGCTTTGAATACATCATAACTTACATTAAGATTAACACCTATTAACGAAAAAAAAAAGCATACAATCTATGTAAAATATGAATTAGAAAAGTTCGAAATGAATACCTTCGGCACCAACACGAAATTCAAAAGCAACAGCTTCATGTGCTTCAGCCATGAGATTATTTTCTTTTTTTTATATCGTTATCACTATTTTAATACGATACACTTACTTGAAATTAATCTAAAGTTAGAATGTCTATTTTGTAATAGTTGGACTTTAACCTATGGTTCGTTTTCAAGTTCAACAGGACGTATTCATGCGTAGTTACTATGGACGTATATATAAGCTGTGGAATGCAGGAAAGGAAAGAGAAAAAAAAAGTCGATGAGAAAGCAAAAGAACGACAAATGCAGTAGCCCGACAAAAGAAAAATTTGGGTCGATGGTGTTCAGTAAGGTAAAGAGTGACGGGTTTTTTTCTATGTAAAAAAAGCGAACAGGTGTTTTTTTCTTGTAATATTTTATGATATAAGTGCTGCACACAATTTTGCTCTTTCACGACACACACATACCGGATTCTGCATAACCTTTTGTCAGGGAGGTGGCGCTATGATTTCAAGTTAAATATCTAATGAATTTTATACCAAATTAAAGACCGTCAAAAACTAGATTCATTAGTACTAAATAGTAAGAGTTATCAAAATACTTTAGTGTCAAACTTACGAAATTTTCGGAAATTTTATGTTTTTTTAGCATAGAAAATTAGGGCACCAGCAATTCAAATATAGAGTAAAATATTTTCTTTTGGTATTTTTACATGGTTCGATAGGGTCCGTCGAGCTCTACAAAACTATATATATTAAAAGTTTCTTGAGCCATTTTTCTGAGATAAAAAATCTAAAAAAAGACTTATAAAATCCTAAAAAATCTTTAAAAACTCGGGTTTATTTATATGGAAGAAAAACACTCGACTTCTTCGATAAAATTAACTTTTTTCATTATTTTTACTTACAAAGACGCTTCGAAATATACTCATCCGATGCAGCATGAAAAAATGCATCTAATGAGTATATCGCGAAGCGTCTTTATGAGTGAAAATAATGAAAAAACTAATTTTATTGAGAAAATTGCGTGTTATTCTTCCCTATAAAAAACTGCTGGTGCTCTAATTTTCTATGCTAAAAAAAAGCATAAAATTTCGTAAGTTTGACATTAAAATATTTTGATAACTCTTACTATTTAGTACTAATGAATCCAGTTTTTGACGGTCTTTAATTTGGTATAATATTCATTAGGTGTTTAACTTGAAATTATAGCGCTACCCCCCCCCCCCCCCCCTAGCAAAAGGTTATGCACAACCCGGTACAATAAAGATAAAACTCATCCAATTACTCGTAATGTTAAGTTGTTTGTGTTCATTCTTATAGTTTTTTATATTATTTCTCATTTCTTTTTCTGTTTAACAAATAAAAAGTCATAACTCAATTAAACACCCTCTCTATCATATACTTAACGAAAAAAATTGATGTTTATCTAAGAGAAGGCCAAAAAAATGAATAAAGTAAATAAGTTTGCAACAGAAAAAAAGGTATATATATATTGATAGAAACAAAAAAAAGATTGAAAAAGTTTGTTGGTTCATTTCTTTTCATTTGATACATTATGATGTTTTGGAATATTGTTGTGCAGGATTATAGTAAGTATTTTGAGGTAGATAACCACCATAGGGTTGTTGTGAAGCTAATGGTGGTGGAGTTGGCATTACTGTTGGTTGCATAAAAGATGGATTGATTGTTGCTGGTGATGAACTTGATGGTGGTGCTTGTGGTTGTTGCTGAGCAAATGCATTAGGTGTATTAATATTAGGATTAAAGGCAGGAAGACCAGGCCGTGATTGCATTAAAGCTTGTTGTTGACCATAAAAACCACCTTGTTGTGGTGGTAGTCCTAAAGGTGCTTGTTGTTGTTGTTGTTGTTGTTGTTGTTGTTGACCTATAAATGTCGATGTTTGAGTAGTGTTTGAAGATGGTGGTGGTGGTGCTGAACTAGAATTGAAAGTTGATGTTGTGTTAGTATTTGGCAATGTAGGAGGAGAAAATGTTGTTGGAAATCGAGAAGCACCGGCATTTGGTAAAGGTGGCATGCCATGAAATGATGTTGGTGGAGGACCAAATAGTGATGATGATGTTTTAGTTTGTTGATCATTAAGTCCTGTTGGAACAAAATGTGGTGTTGGCATTTGTTGGAATGAAGTAGGTGGTGGTTTGTTTGCATCAGTTGATTCTGAAGATTGATATTGATTTTGAGTATTACCTATGTAACAAAGAAAAACAATAATAATAAAAGATATCTTATTGCGATTAAGAGATTCTTTATTTTTTTTTATAAAAAGGAAACCTGTTGGTATTGTTTGAAATGATTTTTGTTCATTATGAGCCGTTTTATTTGAAGTTGAAGATTTTGATCGAATACTATCTGGAGTAGTTGAACGTTGACTCTGATGTAAATGTTTATATGGATCAAATTCACGTGTTGTGCTTGAAACAAAAGCAGGCGTTGGAATTGTTGCTGTTGTTACTTCTTTTTCTTGACTATTTGTTGTATCTTTATTTGTTGGTAATTGAAGTCGATCAAGTATTGTTTGTACGGAATTTCGAATTTGTTGTAATTCATTTCGAAATGTTTTAGCATCAATTAAACTTCCTTCTTTATTAAGGTTTTCTGCTGTTGAATTATTATTAGTTAATTGTTCATTACCATTAACTAATACAAATAGACGAAGAACTTTATGAAAATGTACTGCTACAGTTAAATCACTATCATTCAATAAAGTTATTTTATCACCATCATCATCTAAATATTTTATTGTTAATTCATCGGAATTTGAAATTTTTCCAGTAAATATACGTTCCATCATAAGAACAAGTTCTAAATAATAAAATAAAAACACACATTGGCTTTTTTGTTTTCATTTTTTTTTTTTCTATAAAATTAAATTTGTAGTATTATTTACCATTTAATGTTAAATCTTCATTATGTATCATCATTTTACGTATATCATCACCTAATTGAGCTTTTATAATTAATTGACCAGAAAGTTTATCACTACTTGGTGCTGTTGATAGTGGAGCACTTGTTGAACCATTCATTGTATAATAAATATGACTCAAATTTATTTTTAGATATAAATATATGAAACGAATATGTTAGATAACTCACGTAATAGATGAATAACTAACAGATTTACTTCTTTCAAAAATAATAATGACAGTGGCCACGTTGATATTGGACTAAATATAGATAGGCTTTTAGAAAGCCAATCAATATTATGTCAGTAATTAAATATTTTATGTATAAGATGTAAATGACTGATTGAATTATAATATTGTAATATTTTTACAAAAATGTTATTTTGTTGCTAAAATTCTTATTTATGTCTGCAGATGTCTCACATGCTCGGAGTTCAAAACGATTTGTTCTTTGTATAATTGACAGACAATAAAATATTTAAATAAATAGTCATGTATTTTTTAGTTATTGAAGATTTAAACGACAAATGGATCGTTTCCAATGGATCATAAAAATATTAGTTGATAAATATAAGAAAAATTGATGTGTTTAAAAGCATAATTTATTGTACGAGAAGGAAATCTTTGACATATCATTTGCATTCTCTTTATATACGAAACATACTGTACAAATGAGTTTAAAGTTAATCAGTGTGATAGATAACACAAGATCATTGAAAAAGAAAATAAACATTACTGAAATAGAAATAGACTTTTTCATAGCGAAAACTAATTAGACATTCAAATGTATATCTGCAAAAACGGAGATTATTATTCTATCAATATATTGTATCATAATAAGCTCGTATTATAAGATCACGACGTTTTGGAAATCTACAGTCAAAGTTTGTATCAAAATACCATACTACTATACCATTAGCTAGGTGAAAATTAACTGATTGATACATGAAATCAATACATTTCCCTACAACAGTAATAGTAAAGTTTGAGTTATTTATAAAACAACATGTTATCAGCAGATATATTTTATTGCATTTATTCAAAACTTATCTAGCTTTTTATCATGGAATTCTTTTTGTTATACAAATCATTATAGTATTCAGTCGATCCGACTAATAGTTTAGGATGAAGATCAACTTATAGTCTAGACGCCCGATATAAAAAATAATAACATTTAGAATTCCATTCAAAAAATCTATAAATATATAATAGTTCATGCAATACGATTAAAAAAAAGTTATCAATTGATTAAGAGATTTTTATATACTTTGAGCATGCGGGTGTGAAAGTGGATATTAATGGAGATGGGTATGTGTCTGAATATTGACGATTCTTCTGTCTCCTTGTATCCACATCCATCACGTAGATGCAGGCATAGAGCCATACTCACATCTCACATCTACCTTAAGGTGCATGGCAAAACAGAGGACAGCATTGCACAGAATGCATGCAGGTGACGAATTGAGGCCATCAAATACTCCTCCTGTTGGTTCACAATAAATAAGTTCTGATCAATCGAGCCACATGAGGATCTTTTAATAATGAAAATTTGAAATCTGTCTTCGAATGTTGACACAGAACATAATCTTACGCTGCAATGAAAATCTGAATTCAGATTTGAAAAAGCTATTGCTTTTGATTAATTCAATTTTCGAACTGTGTTCCTTTATTTTTTCATTGATAAGATCGGAATCGAA